AGCTAAATCACCAATCCATGACAATTAGTAAATAGTTCGCCCTGTGTTTAAACCAAGGATGACCTAACTCCTTGTGTTGTTACACAGTTTTAATCAATATGGCAGAGAAAAAAAAGCTACAGCAAAGAAACAGAGGGACAGAATAAAAGAAAATGGGTAAGATTATTCATTTGGAATGAGTCGCTTTTTGTTTAAAGCTAAAGACACAGAAATGGTCCCGAAAGACTTAAGGGAAAGGGCTGTTAAATATTGTTAGAGTCTCTAAAGGACTTAAGCTTAAATAAAACCAAGCGGGAATGTTCTCTAAAGCAGTGTATCCAAAAACTCTGATACAGGTTAAAACCATCTAGTGAGTTTTTAAACACAGGGATCTAGGTCTCCGTCCCAAGAGACTGGAGTTTTTAATTGGTCTACAATGTGGCCTGGGTTTGGAGTTATTTTAAGCTTGTCGAGTGTTTCTAATATAAATCCTGAGCTAAGAAGTGCTGTGGCAAAGGAACAAACTGGTGCTTTATCTCCATGGTCTTATCAGTTGGGGGTACTGATGTCATTGCACATTTATTGCCGTAGAAAACTAGTTGAATATCAATAATAAAGTGCATCCATTATCCTTAACACCCGCTGAACTGCTGGTTACCAGCTGTCTACGTGTTCACAGAATCTTTCAGCCCGAAAAGAAAGTACCCTCTAATTCTTAACTTTTGGACCATTTTGTCTCCCATTAATACTCTCAAGAGAAAATGAGCAAAAACGATACGAAGAATATTGGTTATTTCAGAATTTTTTTTTACAACACTACAAAATGTGATGAGAGAATGTTTTAATTATTAGATGAAACGTGACTTGGAATGGTTTTGGAGCTCCCGAGGCTGTGTTTGAAATTGTTTCTAAATGTCTTATCAGATGATTTTCTTAGAAGCTAACCTTGACTCTACCACTGTGAACAAACCAGAATTCACTGGGTGCATCGAGTTCCAACGTGTTCTTTATTCAGGCAACGACTTTAGGTATTCACAACTATGGTCTCCAGCTATTTCTTCAGTACTGATGATCATTTGAACCACACTGAACAAAACTTCCACCACTACTACAATCGTGTGTGTGTGTGTGTATGTGTGTGTGTGTGTGATACATGTGAATGTGTATGTTTTTATATATGTGCACAGATATATAAGTGCATATGGGATTGGAAGTCAACACTGGCTGCTTCATCTTTTGTTCTCCACTTGATATTTTGAGGCAGGCTCTCTGAGGTAGACTAAATGGTCAGCAATCTTCTAGGTTCTGACTATCTCTGCCTCCTCAATTCTGAGATTAGGCTATGTATTACCACACCCAGATTTTTTACATGGTTGTTGGGGATCTGAACTCAGGACCTTATGCTTGTGAGGCAAGTACTTTACACTGAGCCACCAGATCCCCTAAATTGATTCTTACAAGATGGGTAACATCTCAAACATCACTCTAAACTGATGGGGCTCGGGACCTCCAAAATACGGCAATTTAGCAACTGAGAAAACCGCAGAAGCAAGAAAGGCCCCTTATAGTGATATTTTATTTGTATTGTAATAAATAAAGCTTGCCTGAAGATCAGAGAGTAAAACAGCCACACTGGTTAGCCAGACAGACAGAGCAGACACTGGTGAAACACGCCTTCAATACCAGCAGTCACCACTAGGTGGTGGGGGTGCACGCCTTTAATCCCAGCGCTTCATGGAACATAAAGCAGGATAGACAGGAACTTGCTCTCTTTTCAGCCTGAAAATTTTGTAGAGGTAAGAGCGCTCTAGTGGCTTGACGGCTTTGCTTTTCTGATCTTCACCTTGAACCCCAGTATCTGTCTCTGGGTTTTTATTATTCATGCTACACCCTCTGACCTTCTCCAGAAGCAGGGCACAAAACCTAAGAAGGTTCTTGCTCAAACACTCGCGCCCCTTTCTCCCTACTTGACCTACCCTACTCATGGAGGGGGAGAAAACTTTCCACACAAAGGCCAAGAATGCAGGCAAGTAGGCTTTGCTGAGCTCCCCCAGTTTATAACCACCAGCTTGCACGCATTGTCCTCCAATCACACTCCCAATACTGCCCATTCAAATGAACAGTCTTCCCAAATCTCTGAGTATTCATTTCTGAAGGCTCCTTAATGGCATTTAAAGCTTATATCAGAATTGATGAGATGGCTCAGCAAGTACCAAACTTTCTGCCAAGCCTAATGACTTGGATTTGTGCCATGGTATGGGTCTGAGGTCAAAAGACAGCTTGTTCTTGCTCACACACATACACACAAATGAACCAAGTAATGAATAAAGTAATAAACGTTTTTAATTTACATTCAATGAAAATGTTGTGTGTGGTGGCACATGCCTAAAATCCCAGCACTTTGGAGGTAGAAATAAAAGGACTGGAAGTTCAGGTCATCCTCATCTACACAAGGAAGTTCACAGCCAGCCTGGGCTCCATGAGATCTTGTCTCAAAAATACCAAAGAATACATAGTAAGCCAACTTTTTAATCCTGTTTTTACATGAAATATCAGTTATAAGTCTTATAATAAGTAAGAAAATTTCTTCTCCCTTCCAAAGAATAAGGTACTTTTCACAAAGTGGTTCGTGGAATCTGTTAGGTCCTTAAGAATCAAAGAACACCCAACATTGTGTCCCGTTACAAGTTATTATTCCAACTGCTGCCCTAAAAAGTAGGGAGTGAGTTTGCATATTTTGTTTTACCCGTCTAGCAAAGACTTTAGGAAGAAAGCAGAGGCCTGTACTCATATAAGGCTTTCCCAAGTTCTATAAGTACATCAACACCCTCAAGATGGAGTTGATGCCAATGGATAATTAGAAGAGGAATTCTTCAAAAGAGCTATGTAACTGGGGAGGACCTTGGATTTCCGGTTTATGTCCACCTTGCAAGTGTTGGGATTACAGGTGAGTATTAGCAGTGCAGTGCTGGCTGGGTTGATTCAGGGCTCCATGAAGGCTCGGCAAGCGCATCACCAAAGGAGCTATATCCCCAGCCTGTAAATAAGAATCTTAAATGGCATAAAATATTATGCTCTGCTGTATTTTTGTATCATTTCTGATCTTCCTTGTTGCATTGCTCCTATCTCAGTTGGAGGTAAGGCAGATCAGGATGACGTCTGTGAAAGGAAGAGATGACGTGACGAGGAAAGAGAAGGGCGCAGAGGCACCAGGGAACTTTTTTTTTTTACAGCTATTGATTACTGGACTCTGCTCTCAGCTCCCATTGATTTGTTAGTGTTGACTGGATTTACTACGGCTATGCTCAGATTCAGTGAACCAGTATTCTATTTTCCCTGCAGCAGCATGTCTCTCATGCACAGAGGTCTTCCAGAGACCGCAACCTGTACCAGAAACAGCCAAGAGCTGAGAAGTAAGCAAAATGCACCTCTGAGCAACCAAGACAGACCTCGCTCCAGCAGCAAGATGCTCCCAAAAAGCAGAATAACCATGGGAGCACTCTGGGTAGAATTCTAGTAAACACACTTGTGTGACTTTTCTCACAAAGCACAACAGAAGCAGCAAATTGGTTGAGAAGTTAGGAATGAAGGCTGTCAACGGCTGAGAAAGCAGCAGCCATGAAAGCAGCCCCTGATAAAACTGACTGCAAGAGAGTGAAAGATCAACAACAGCAAAAAAATAAATAAAAATAAAAAATAAAAATCAAGCCATCAAAAATCAAAGACATTTGATCACTCCATACAAAAGCAAACAAGCCTACACTTGAACTTCACATAAGGACATCATTGTAGTCTCATCTCAGAGAGAGATTGACATTTATCTTGGTAAGCCTGAGACACAAGGAAAAAAGAAAAGAGGCTCAAGTAACCACTGGCAATAAAAAGAAAGCAAAAATCACATTTTAGAAAGATTTTTAGTCAAAACATCTCTCTCTCTCTCTCTCTCTCTCTGTGTGTGTGTGTGTGTGTGTGTGTGTGTGTGTGTGTGTGTGTGTGTGTGTTGAGAGGAGCAAACATCAATAAATACAAAAAATAGACCCATAAGTTATGAAATCCACTACTTCTTCTCTAGCATACTGGATAAACGGGCACTACTGACTTTGAAACGGGATATGAAAAGCTCTTTAGAAGCCTCTTTTCCAGAAACACAATTATAACAGCAATAATGAGACTTCAAAAGGGAAGGAGACAGAGAGCTATCTCTAGCTCCCAGGCAAGGACTTACTAAGAATCTCTGCTGGGCACGCCTGTAATCCCAACACTTGGGAGGCAGAGGCAGACTTTGAGTTCAAGTCTTTGAGTTCAAGGCCAGCCTGGTCTACAAAGCGAGTTCCAGGAGAGCTAAGATTGTTACACAGAGAAACCCTGTCTCAAAGAATAAAAAAGTAATAATAATCCTGCCATCTTTCCTCAGCCAGATTACTCTCGATCTCAGCACAACTATTAAAACACTGTTTAATTTATTCTGTTTTTATTTTATTTACTTCACTCCCTTTATACATATCCATATAATATTTATAATTTGCATTTTTATGGCTGCCTAATAATCCTTGTTCATAATAACTGTGTTCATATTTAACTAATTGTCCACAAATAATGCTTTAATAAATATCTTCACATATATTTCCATTGGTTCTATTATAGTATTGAATAAATTATGCAATGTGGCATCAAAAACATATCTAAAGTACAAAATGCGTTTGACCTGCTTTAAAAGTGAAAATATTTTGTAATATTACCCAAAGTTCTTCTCCTCAGGCTATCAGAGTTCTAAGTTCTCACTTAGAGATTTCTGTGAACTGCCCAAAAACTCTGGAATTCACTCGTATAAAGTCTTTTCAGGAGGGAACTCAGAAATTCATTCTGCTCAAGTCTTTGCAGGGAGGACACTAGAGAATTTGATCTCCTACAGTTATGTCACAGTGGCTACTGTTGCTTCAGTTATTCTGGTCCGTAGCATAGGTGACGGGCCACACATCTGAGGAGTGGGCCCCGTGCCCTGTAAAGCCACCTGCTAAGAGGGCCCAGCAGCCATCACAGATCCACTACTAACAGAAGAAGATAGGAGTTCTGAGAAGTGGCAACACGGCCCAGGAAATTAAAGGACAAATCTAGAGCTGCCCATCCATTATACATGGTGAGTTCAGCAGGTATACGATCCAGGCCACGAAAAATCCGGCAGTGTGGAAGGAGTGCTGTTAAACTAATTCTTCCTTAATCCCTAAGGCATCTTAGACACTGTGCAGTACAGGGCGATGAGCTTTTCCTCTGTTGTAATAAAGCATCTTGTCAGGACAGAAAGCATACCACGGAGGAAGCTGCTCTCCAAAAGGCTTACACCTTGTGAGGCTCAAACAACCATAGCCCGTGGAAACGAACTGCTAGAGAATAATTTGAACCCAATTCTGGGGCTGTTGGAGATGTAATAACACGAAAAAATAGAGTTGGAAATACATTAATGGAATATCATCTAGAAACAATACGTTATTGAATTTTAGATGTACAGGTAGACTAATTTACCTGTGACACATGTCACCACAGGGAAAGACAAATTAATAAATATACTGGTTTCAACTTTACAAGGCCAGTGTTTCTCCGGGAATAATCATGTACAACTCTGCCCTCTGCTGGATCAAAGAGTGTAATAGTTTGCGAAGTTGAGGATTCTATTGCTGCTGATAAAACCCGGTGACTGTAAACAACATTGGGGAGGAAAGGATTTATTTCACCTCACAACTCTCAAGCCACATCCCATTGCTGAGGGAAGTCAGGACAGGAATTCAGAGGTGCTGCTTACTGGCTTGCTCCTCATGGCTTGCTCACCCTGCTTTCTTACAGAACCCAGGACCCCATCACCTGCAGCAAGCTCGACCCTGCCACATCAATTATCAATTAAGAAAATGTACCACGGGCTTATTCTAAGGTCAGTCTGGTGGGAACATTTTCTTATTGAGTTTCCCTCTTCCCAAATGACTCTAACTTATGTCAAGATGACATGCACACACAATTTTCACGGGCACAAGGAAAGGAAGTAACATTGCACTTCATAAGCATTGTATCCTAAGTGGAAATGCAATTTCTTAAATAAAAATATTTAAAATTGACAAAAAAATAACAAAATGCAAATTTTCATCCAAAGGCACTATATGAAGTTCTCAGAGAACTGATGAAATATCATCTCACAAACATGAATAAAAATAAAATACAGAGCCAGGTGGAGTGGTACATGTGTTTAATCCCCCAGGACTTGGGAGGCAGAAACAAGTGGATCTCTATGAACTGAGGCCAGCCTAGTCTACATAGTGAGTTCCAGGACAGCCAGAGCTACATAGTGAGACCTTGTCTCAAAAAATTAATGAATAAAAATATAATTTTTGATGCTGGAATTCTGAATGCACATCAGAAATTAGTTGGTTCTTTTGCACTTCAACTTTCTAATACTCTTTTCAAATTACTAATACTCTCATGTACAGAAGATTCAGGGCATTAATGAAGATCAGTTTGATAGTACGTTACCCTTGAAAGAACTCCTATTTTAAAATAACAACAATATGGACATAAGTTAGTCTCTTGAGATTTTCCCACAACTCAGCAAAATAAAAATTAAAGTATTATTATCTATTTGTTTTTTGTCTTTGGTGTTTTGGAGACAAGGTTTCTCTGTATAGGTTTGGCTCTCCTGGAATTCCCCAGGCTGGCCTCTAGACCAGGCTGGCCTCAAACTCACAGAGATCCACTTGTCTCTACCTCCCAAGTATGGGGATTAAAGTTGTGTGACACCACTGTCACTGTCACTATGTGACACCAAAATTGATCACAAAATTTAAGTATGTAAATAACCAAATAACCACAAGTACCACCCCATTTTATTTAATTATTTAATTTCACCACATGTTATTCGTTTATAGTCTACTAGATATTGATAACATACAACCAAACAAAATGTGGTCCAGTTCTCAGAAATCCTTACACTGAATGGCAGGCAGTAAGAGGTAAATTAACAATTGCTGAGTGCCCCATGTTATAAACACTAGATTATCATTCAACAAAAGGCTCCAGCATCAGAGAGTCTCTGCTTTCAATATCACACCTCTTTTCAGGATCTTGGGCCCAATGACTGGTCCATGTCTGAGAATAAAGGCTCTGCCACCAACCCTCCTTCCTACAAGTCAGAGTAGTCATTCTGGCTCCTGGGATTGACACAGAGATCACCAATCCTACTGTTAGACTCCTGTCCAATCGAAACCCTTCTTGCTACTTCAGTGGTTTTTAACCAAGGTGGTTCTGATACCTGTACACTAGGGTATTTGGCAGTGTTGAAGAGTGTGTTGGTGTTGCTGCTGAAGTCTAGATGTTAGTGACCAAGGACACCCTTACAATGTGCTAGACAGCTCTGACCACAAAGTACTACCCTGTCCAATATGTCAATATGCCGCCACTGAAGGTCTCTGCTCTAACCAATCCTGGGTGGACCTCTACTCTCCTAGATGTCCCAAAGTCGTTCTTTACTAACTACCCTACATCCTGAATTCCACCCTAACAGTTGGCTTCCTGAGAGCAGTTACACAGAAACATCTCCAATAAGAGACCATTGGGTTTTAAACATATGTAAGAGAGAGAGAGAGATTATGACACTTGTGTGAAAATTTATAAAATTTAGAACAAAGTATTAAAAGAGTGTAAAACAAAACTGGGAAGACTGACACCAAGTATGAGGACTACTTGGTAATAATGTTGATAATTCCTCTTTGTTTGTTTCTGTGATTGGTTGGGGGGGTTGAATGTTTTTCTATTATTTATGAGATAGGTGTGCTGTCTGCCATGCTAAGAAGGCAGTTCCCCCCTCCCCCCTTTTTATTAACATTTATTAAGCTCTCCATTTTACTCTGCTCCCCTCCTGTCTCTCCCCTCCCCTCTTCAACCCTTCCCAAGGTCCCCATGCTCCCAATTTACTTAGGAGATCTTGTCTTTTTACACTTTCTACTTCTCATGTAGATTATATCTATTTAAGTCTCTCTTAGTGTCCATATATTTGTCTAAATTCTCTGGGATTGTGGTTTGTAGGCTGGCTTTCTTTGCTTTATGTTTAAAAACCACCCATGAGTGGAGTGAGTACATGTGATAATTGTTTTTCTGTGTCTGGGTTACCTCACTCAAAATAATGTTTTCTAGTTCCATCCATTTTCTTGCAAAATTCAAGCTGTCGTTATTTTTTTTCTGCTATGCAGTACTCCATTGTGTAAATGTATCACATTTTTTATCCATTCTTCGACCAAGGAGCATCCAAGTTCTGGCTATGACAAACAAAGCAGCTATGAACATAGTTGAGCACATGTCCTTGTGGCATGATTGAGCATCCTTTGGATAAATACCCAAAAGTGGTATTATTGGGTCTTGAGAAAGGTTGTTTCCTAATTTTCTGAGAAATCACCACACTGACATCCAAAGGGGTTGTACCAGCTTGCATTCCCACCAGCAATGCAGGAGTGTTCCCTTTTCCCCACAACCTCTCCAGCATAAGTTGTCATCAGTGTTTTTGATCTTGGCCATTCTTACAGGTGTAAAATGAAATCTCAGAGTTGTTTTGATTTGCATTTCTTTGATGAAATGTTGAACATTTCCTTACGTGTCTTTTATCCATTTTAGATTCCTCTGTTGAGAGTTGTCTGTTTAGGTCTGTACTCCATTTTTTTTATTTTTTTTTTAATTTTTTATTTTTCGAGACAGGGTTTCTCTGTGGCTTTGGAGCCTGTCTTGGAACTAGCTCTTGTAGACCAGGCTGGCCTCGAACTCACAAAGATCCACCTGCCTCTGCCTCCCGAGTGCTGGGATTAAAGGCGTGCGCCACCACCGCCCGGCCCTGTACTCCATTTTTTTTTACTGGATTATGTAATCTTTTGTTGTCCAATTTCTTAAATTCTTTGTCTATTTTGGAGATCAGACCTCTGTCTGATGTGGGGTTAGTGAAGATCTTTTCCCATTCTGTAGGCTGTTGTTTTGCCTTGTTGACCGTGTCCTTTACTTTACAGAAGCTTTTCAGTTTCAGAAGGTCCCATTTATTAATTGTTTCTCTCAGTATCTGTGCTGTTGGGGTTCTATTTAGGAAGTAGTTCCCTGTGCCAATGCATTCAAGTGTACTTCCCACTTTCTTTTCTATGTGGCTGGCTTTATGTTGAGGTCTTTGATCCATTTGGACTTGAGTTTTGTGCATGGTGATAGATATGGGTCTATTTTCATTTTTCTGCATAGTGATATCCAGTTATGCCAGCACAACTTGTTAAATATGCTTTCTTTTATCCATTTGATATTTTTTGCTTCTTTATCAAATATCAGGTGTTCAAAGATGCATGGATTGATATCCAGGTCTTCTATTCCATTCCATTGGTCCTCCTGTCTGTTCTTATGCCAACAGCAGACTCTTTTCAGTACTGTAGCTCTGTAGTACAGTTTGAAGTCAGGGATTGTGATGCCTCCAGAAGTTCTTTTATTGCCCAGGATTGTTTTGGCTATTCTGGGTTTTGTGCTTTTCCATATGAAGTTGAGTACTATTCTTTCGAGGTCTTTGAAGAATTTTGCTGGGATTTTGGTGGGCTTTGCATTGAATCTGTAGATTGCTTTTGGAGATTGCCATTTTTACTATATTAATTCTGCCTACCCAAGAGCATGGGACATCTTTCCACTTTCTGGTATCTTCTTCAGTTTCTTTCTTCAAAGATTTAAAGTTCTTGTCATACAAGTCTTCCACTTGTTTGGTTAGAGGTACTCTGGGATATTTTATGCTATTTGTGGCTATTGTGAAGGGTGTTGATTCTCTGATTTCTTCCCCAGCCCTTTTATCACCTGTGTACAGGAGGGCTACTGATATTTTTGAGTGAATCTTGTATCCTGCTACATTGCTGAAAGTGTTTATGAGTTGTAGAAGTTTCTTGGTAGAAATTTTAGGATCACTTATGCAAACTATCGTCCCATCAGCACATAGAGTTTGACTTCTTCTTTTCCAATTTGTATCCCCTTGATCTCCCTTTGGTGTCTTATTGCTCTAGCTAGGACCTCAAGAACTATGTTGAATAGATATGGAGAGAGTGGAGAACCTTGTCTTGCTCCTGATTTCAGTGGAATTGCTGGGAGTTTCTCTCCATTTAGTTTGATGTTGGCTGTTGGCTTGCTGTATATTGTCTTAATTATGTTTAGGTATGTTAAGGAGGCAGATTTTATCTTATTTATGAGAGAGAGAGAGAGAGAGAGAGAGAGAAGAAATTCCAGGTGGAGGCCCAGGGACTGAGCTGAAGTCATCAGGCTTGCACTGCAAGTGCTTTTACTCACTGAACCATCTTGATTTGGTTTTTGGTTTTTTTGTTGTTGTTGTTTGTTTGTTTTGCTTTGTTTTTTGAGACAGGCTCTCACTATGAATCCCAGGCTGGCCTCAAACTCTCAATTCTCATCTCTCACCTCCCTAGTACTGGATCACAGGTGTGTACTACCACACCCAGAGCCCAGAGCAAGTGATTCTTAGCATTTTCCTTTGTGGTTAAACTACCTGGGTTTTCCCAGACTTGTACTTTTATTGCTTTTGTGATTGTCTCTTCTTGCTCCTTCTACCTCCCTTCCTCCCTCTCTCTATCCCCTCTCCTGTTGCTTTAAGCATGTGTTACTTTTGTAATGTGAGATGCACTTTCTAATTGCAAAAAGAAAAAGAAGGCACAGTCAGTTTCTGGAAAGCCCTGCCGAGTAGACGACTGATATGCAGTATGCCAGGAAAAGTCTGCAATGGCCTCAGAGAGAGTTGCTGAAAGAAATAACCATGAGAGTAGAGGAGAAGGTGAAGAAATAAAGGCAGCCCGATTTTTACATAAGGATGACCACAAAAAAAAAAAGCCAGAAAGGAAGACCAGCAAAAAGAATGGACTGAAAGACCCAAGAAAG